CCTCTGTCCTCTGGCAGAATGAAAACAAACACTTTTTTTTTTTTCCTAATAGAAGCTAAGATTACAGCAAATGCAAAATAATAACAGGATCGATACATCTAGTGGTACAGTTTTTATAGACAAGTTGTTTCAGGAAAGTTGCCAAAAGCATTTGCACAATGGAACTTTTACACCAGGAGGTGAGATAACAAATAATGATAAAATAGCTATTAGCACAAGGACTCATACTGAGAGGAGCACCTGCTGAGGAACCCAGTGAGTTAGTGTTTAAAATATTATGTAGATGAGAGCAATTTTCTTTCCTTACCAGTCCCCAAAGGGCTCCTTCTGTTGTGGCAACAATGGTGGCAGCTCTAGGAGTGTTGTACATCAATGCCAGTTCCCCAAAACTGCCGTGATTATCATAGCGGCCCACACAGCGTGTCTGGTTGTCTCTTGCTACAAAGATATCATACAATCCTCTGGAAAAAATGGAATAGATGCTGTTTAATAGACGACATTCCAACATTAATCATAAAAACAGTTTTCAGCTGTTACGCTAAACTGAATGCACGCAAAACATTTTCCAAATTAAAAAACAGTTCTCTTACTGGTCAGTGATATGGAACATGCTTTATTGAGCTTTCCAGCTGTCTGATCTTAAGTTGCTTCTGTCTAAAGTATTTTCACAGCATCTCTCCCTTAATACAGCATTTCAGTCACGATAGAACTGACCAGGATCTGCTTGCTTTCCTCTGCATAGTATTTTGGCATCGCTACTGTAAACGTTCTGGCCAAGGCATAGGTAGTTTCATACCGTTTAACAATCTGTCTTCTCACAGCCTGTGGGCTATTCAGTGAGGCTTCTTCAGAGCCACTTAAATCTATCCACAACCTCTACTACCTGTTTTCACAAAGACAGCATTGCTGCAGTACCTTTGGGTAAACTCAATCCAACTGCTCACCTGCTCCTAAGGTTTTGCCTCAACCTAACTCCAACTTAAGAGTATGTCTGTATTGTGATCCCTAAGTACAACTGTAAGCTTGTATTTGCATACATCCATGCTAGATTCAAACTTTCCAACTCTTGTATGGACAGCAGTGATGCTGTAGCAGCACAAAGATCCCAGAAAGGGCCTTTCTGTACCCAAGATACTGAATAAGTTTTGCAGGACAAACTGACCCCTGTTATGAGCGGCATGTATTGACCCTCAAAAGCTAGATGATTTAAAGCTAATTCATGAACGTGCCACATCTTTACACTGTAGCATGGAGATCTCCAGAGGCAACCACAGAATCATTTCACATCTGGCATTTGCCTAATAGCTCCCTTACGACCAAAACTTTCACACTCAGTTTAACTTCATGCCATCCTGCAACTCAGGGCAAGCTGACAGTTGAACCGATCAATTTTATCACTATTTTCATGGAGATAAGGCTGCTGAAGGACACAAGTTACAGCATGCAACGTTCCAATTTGAATAGTCTGCTTGGATCTCACAGAGCTCTCTGCATACTGAAGTGACATTGTAGGATGCACATGGTTAGAAAGCATGGGTAACTTTTGACAATTGTGCAGAACAGGGTGGATTCCACTCTAGTCACACTGGCTTTAAACAAAAGCTGCAGAGTTAAAGAAAACTTTTTTTGTTATAGCTCTCTTTCAGAAAACAGAAAGATTGCTGACACCTAGCCAGGATATCTGAAAAGATCAAGAAGGAAGTGTTCAGGCTCCAGAAGCCTCCTATATTTCGCTCATGTGGAGCTGGAACCTGTTTAAGCTGGAAAGGCCTCCTCATCCTGTTCTCAGAGGCACACTTCCTATCTTAAAATGTACTTAAGGGAACGGTAAGCCAGAACTTACTGAGAATTAAAAGACTACTCTGACGAAGCTGGAGACACACGTACAGAGAGTTAAAGTCCAAGGCATAAATCTGGATCACACCAGCACCACAGAAGCTGCATAGGAAGAAACAGGCTATGCACAGAAAGGTAGCCACTTCGAAATCAGACAAGTATCTAGACCACTGTCAAAACCGTCTCATGCTTGGCGCTTTAAAAAAACCATTTAAAAGTCAGATAGCTTGACTAGGCTTGATTAATTCCTGTCTATGGCACCAGAGAATATTTAGGGATCAGACATTGGCCTAAGAGACTTTACAAAATATATTACATCCTGGAAAAAAAGCAGGTAGGGAACACCTTCCTGGCTTCATGAGCAGCTTTGGATGTGCTGAACGCACACACAATTCTCGCCATGAAGTTGAAATCTGTCAGGGGAACTGGTATTATCTCCCAGAATATCAACAGGCACCTTATTAAAAAAAAGAATAAACAGAAGTGGCAGCAGGTGAAACTCTTCATAATAAATAAGTACGGGAAGAGTCTCATCAGTGAGACCTACCTAGCGTTAACAGCAGGGCATTCAGGAATGCTGATGGACAGTCCTGGCTTTGTCAGTTATCTTTGAATACTACTGCTTCTAAAAGAAGCACTACAGGACAGCTTTATGCCAGCTCAACTTGTAGGAGATTTCACAGAGTGGATATTAGATGCATCAATCAAGCAATTAAAATACCCTGAGGCAGGGAAGCTTTGCACAATGACTTGAGGCTCTACTGTATTAACGCCTCTCAGATCCAGAGAAAAGTCTGGCTACTGGTTCAATACTAGATGGGCCAGATTTAGACATGTCAGAAGATGAAAGAGGTTTAGGCTCTCTACCTGTCACCCAGAGAGCTAAAGGAGGAAGCCAGGTACATGAAGACTGCCTAACATCCTTACTGCTTACTCATACCTAAGATACAAAGAAAGAAAACACAACAGCACGCTAACAGTAAACTATTGAAATATGGATTAGCATTCCTGGAAAGGTGCACTGAAATTCTTGCAGTGTTCAATACCTACTTAATGATTCTCTGAGAGGCAATCAGGAGCAAAAATGTCCGGAGGTCTTTTTGATCTAGAAGAACCATCTGTGAACACCCGAAGGGAAATGAAACAACCTCTCCTCCCCACCCCTCAGCCTCAAAGTCATTTACTAGTACCGTTTTTTCCCAAGTGACTGTAGCCGTGTAACCTTGAGCCCAGCATTCAGCTGACTGTGCCCCAAGGACTAGTTTGGTTCGGCACCATTGGGTGACCTTGGCTCAGCTTTATTGAGAAAACTCTTGCCGAGCTGTGAGACAGTTCACGAGCTAAAGCCCTGCAAGATAAGAGTAAAAACACAGACCAAAGTGTAATTTTTGAGACGGTAATCGTTCGAAGCTCAAGGACTCGAAAGAAAAAAACTGACATGAAAAAATATAAAAACCTAAGGAAAAAGAAAGCAGAAAACCAGAAGCGGACAACTCAACAAGACTGAGGATCAGCCTGTTCCCAGAGGCAACAGAGGCCAACGCTTCCCCTCCTGACTGATGACTACCCAGCCAGCAGAGACTCATCGAGTGTCTCCGTAGCAGTGGTGAGCATACTAATGCTTAGCTGTGCAACACATTTGTCTTAGCTCTCCCGCGTGTGCATTATGCTGTGTCCTGAAGTCGCATCTGTTCTACCTGCTGTCCCTCTGTGCACATTAAAAGATACCCAGACAAATACCAAGCAATCTGGTGAGGAAGGGTTAGAGCTAGAAAACTTTGAAAAAAGCCTGTGCCGAAAAGCCTGTTTTGTTTTGTTCTTCAGACAAAAAGCAAAAGCATTCCTTCTGCAACACAAAGTCTTTGTTCACTCAGGCAGGAAAGCTTAGCTTTCTGTAATCACTGCTATCCTATTTTTTTTGCATGAAAAACTGGGGAGAAAAGAACAGAAAACTGACAACTTCCAAATTGTTCATAACAACAGAACAGCATAGGAGGTGCAGCTGAGCTGGTGCTTAGAGCAAAGTCAGGTATGATCCATCACTAAAAAACATCAAGTTTATTTAATTCCCCCCATTGCACAGCCCCTCTGCCACATAGTTTGGCAACATATTTATATTACTGGTGTATTACACCTTGAAAACGAAGAAACCCTTAAAAGCCTGAAATCTTCCAACCCAACTCTCTCTTGAAATAAAAAAAATGCTGTGGAATAGCATTACAGCTGTAGAACATAGACCATAAAATATTTACCTGAATATCAAGATAAGATTGCATCTGGATAACCTTATCAAGATGAAGTTAAAGTTCCTAGCAGAAAAAAGCTTTACACTAGCCAACAGGGACTAGGAACTAAGGCCTTGCACGGAAACAAATTAAAACACATCCAAGTGGCTGATGGTATCTGACATTTTTATGAGGCGTTCAAACCAAGTCTGAGTTTCCTCAAGATGAGCAACCTCTGCTCTGCATACAGTAAGAATATCTCATCTTTGCAGAGCTTGTGGCTCCCAAGAGCCCATGAATTCTGATCCCATGAGTTCTGATCTGCAATAACTTACTCATATCTGGGACAGCCTGCTCCCCTGCAAACACAGCAAGAGAAGTAACTTGTCCCGTCAAGCTAAGGATGTGGGATCACGGCTGATGCAGAGCAGCTGAGGAAGATATTCTAGTGTAGAAATGGTTTAGGGTAACGGGGTAGAATGGTAGAGAAGCCAAGAATGGGCGCATGGTGAGGGTATATTTAAGGTTCTCTTACGTTCTAGTAATTCCGGCAATCAAAAAGGGGCATGTCACTAAGCGAACAAAGATTATCAGAACCTAATCTGGAAATTTTTTTGCAAACCTCTAAGGATAGAAAAAACAACAATCTAAAGGCAATGCACTGTTTTAAAGAAGTGCTTTGAAAGCATTTAATACCATATTAAAGGGGGCCATTATTTCAGTGATAAGGATGATGGCTAACAGTGAGTCAAAAAAGTAGTTACCTAGGATCCTATTCCAACAGACATTTATCATTTGTCAGTAATATTCTGGTTAATACTACAGTTTTAGTTTTACAGGAAGAAATAAATCCATGTCCTTAATTCTTCAAATATGGTGAGTATGATTAATGTTAGCTATGTAAAAGGAAATTCTGAGATGCCAGAATTTCTTCCAAAAGGGAGAAAGATGCTCAAAATGTGTGTTCGCACAAATCTATTATATGTCAAAATTACCATGTGAATTTGCGTGGTGCAAAAAAAAAAAAATGCAAAGTGGCACCTTAAACTCTGCAAATACAAACCAAGTGACTGACAGAAGCAAGGCAGCAAGCATCTCTAAAGTCAGTGCTCAAAACTAATTAGACAAAACCCAAGTTGTTCCATGGCAGTGACTAACTTAGGTGCTTATGGATTTGTATTCCCTGTATTCCCCTTCCCCAAAAGGAACTCTTGTCCCTTCCCTTACCATATGGTTTCTTTTCTTCTTTTTCCCCTCCTGACTTCAGGAAAATCCATCCTGATCTAGAGACAGCATATATGACTGGTGTCAAACCATGCACATGCTGATGGGACACAAAAGCTAAACGGAGCAGACCATGGGTAGAGCTCATGCTGCAGCCTTTCCCTCAGAGAAAACGATATTTGAGTTTTTACCCAGTCACCAATAGTCACAGAACGTGTTAAAACCCAGCAGGTTTGAAACGTCCACCACTGTCAAACTCAATGGCCCCAGCGAAATGATCCAAAAGTCAACGCGGCCCTAACGGGCAGAACGGAAAGACCAAGAGGAAGAGGTGATGCCTGCAAAAAGTATGCTTCCTTGGGAAACCAGCCTGCAATAAGCATTCCCTGCTGTTTCTAGAGAAATGGAAAAGAAACCTGTTTACATTTCAAAGCACATCTACTTACCGCTCAATGACATAGAAGTTGTCTCCATCATCCCCTTGGTCAATCACATGTTCCTGAGGTTTCACCTTCCTCTCAAACATGGCATCAAGGACCTGAGACAGCTGCTCCTATAATATAAACAGGAGAAAAGAAAAAACAAACCCACCCCCCAAAATACACCTTAGTATTATTTGCTGGACAAAGGCGAGCTCATCTGACTTGATCTCGATAGTGCACTGCATTATTTTTACCCTACAAAAACATAAGTTATTTTTGTATTAAATTTTGGTTTCTATTAGTACGATTTAGTATCATTAGCATTAGTACCATTGCTATCATTTATTTCCAGCTTATTCATATGAGTTCAGTAATGCAGGCAAATACAAATGCTTCCATTTTGGAAGAGATATGAACTCAATTTTATGCCCAAATAGTTTAATTTACACAGTGTTTCGGTGCTAAAGTGCACACGTATGACAAGCCCTCACTTGGTATAAACTGACACAGCTTCACCGACTGCCATCAATATATACTGATTTCTATTAGTATTTCATTATATTTATGTCCAAAAACAGCACTAAGATTTATTACTATCTTATTTGCACTGTCATAATCTAAGATCCCCAAGTCATGGATCAGAACCATATTGCACAAGCCCACGTATAAGCACAGAATATTCCCCAAGACGCTCTGTGTCTCAGAGAGCCTGCAACTTCAGCATGAGACAAGAGGTAACAGATAGGGGAACGCACACAGAAAAAGGGAAAATGCTGGTCGGCACGCAGACTTAAGCTAGGCTTCTGATGAGCCATGACTAAACTTTTTTGTAGGCGGCACAGCCAACAAAATTTGGAAGAGGATGCTATATAAATGCCCTGCCTCAATGTTGAGCTGCTTTACTACCTCCGATATTCTTAAATCCATTAACAATAGATTGCATTGCAATTTCAGTGACTGGGCGTTCAAAAGTTTAAAGATTTAGATCACAGATGAGTTTCTAAAAATATATTGCATAAACACACAAACCAGTGTTTATGCTGGTAGGTGCACTTCAAATATTTACTGCAGTCACTAAATTGTAAATGGTCAAAGCGGCATCTGTAGGCACCACTATATTAAAAATATTGTCTACCTTTTCATTAGAATCCTATTTTCTTGTCTTTAAAAACTCTCCTGATATTTAAACTAAATAAAGAATTATTGCCTGAAAGCCATTTGTTTTAACCACATATTTCACAGCATGCATTTAAGCAACAGATGTCAGAAAACAAGCAGTATAGAGTTTAAAAAGCTTTTTTTTAAAATACTGCAACTGAATAGTGTTTTATTTGGAGAATAAACAGGCTAAGACTTATCATTTTAAGCAAATGAAACACTGAGCTCTTCTGCCAATAAAGGAAGAAGCTCTGTTAGATACCTGAGCTGTAAGACGCTCTTGATTTACATATGGGTACTGAACACGCTCAGGGGCCTTTACTACTAAGGGTAACAATCACTGCTCTCAGCCAGTACAAAATTCAGTCATAACTAAGATTCTGCAAACTCATTTATAAGACTCTGTAGAACCTACACATTATGTCAATAAAAAACTTTTACTAGGAGAGGCTATCTGCTCCCCCAGCACTTTATATTTAAGCATAATTCAGGTTGATCATTGAGGATGCTCAAAACTTCTTGATTAAATGCTGTGACAATCTGATCGATTTTAGTCCAAAGTTCAATGTGAACCTTGCTAAAAGCGGTCAACCAGACACTGGCTCCTTAGTGTTTGATACCAAGTATTACAGCAACTGCTCATGCAGGTGAAGACATTTAAAAAGACAATTGACAGCACTGAGTCACTGGGCCTAAATTCAACACACTTCACCTAATATAAGCAGCAGAAAGAGGATGAACCTGACCAGGACATCCAAGTCACCCCTCTAGGATTAAATATAATTCTGAGTTCTGTGTGGGTTTTTTTTGTTTTTTTTTTTAAAAACAGTTTTACATGACACTCTGTAGAAGGGTAAGGAGCAACAGCACAGATTTTGAGCCTAAATTTGAAGGTGGTTCCTGACAGTTATTAATCAACAATATATACTAAGCAAAAGCAGCAGCCACACGCGTTGCTATTTAGTGCACATTTTATAGCCATCCTGCCAAACTGCTCACACTTTAATTAAGCAGAGGAGTTAAGATGAAATTATCGGGAGGTAGAGGGGTGAAAGGAGGCAAGTTCCATACCCCATTCATACTCATTATTAGGAAAGCTCTCCCCTCTCTGCCAAGTGCCCTTTGCCATACTATAATCAATGTATGCGCTGCAGACATCTTTTTCAGCCATGTGCTATGTTAATGCCTCAGCTCTTACAGTTGCAGTTAACATTGTACCCATTAATTCTCGCTCCAGTTGCCTAGAAAGCTTTTCCCATGAAGCAGTATTTTTCCAAGCCCACACTCTCAGCTCAAATTTGTTTTCAAAGTCACTTTTGAATATAAACTGGTTATTAATTTTTGCTGGGTTATTTTGCTGGAAGCTAAAAGATTGGTCTAATCAATTTGAATGCTCATCATATTTTGTACACACCCCTTGAACAGCTGAATATTCTTAAATGTATTTCATTTTTACTGTATATAATCATGCTCCTTGCAAAAGGAACCTTTCAAATGGCTTAGGTAAATAGGCTTAATGACATCAGGAATCCCAGAACAGTGAAAGGACAGTGTTTGAAAGGACAGCTTTCAAAGAAACTTTTTGACTGAATGTCAATTCCTCAAGCCTGCTGTAATCAAAAGCTTTCAACAACTTTTTCAGGAATGCAGTTCAATGTCTCTCAAGGTTTGTAGAGCAACCAGAACTGGGAGAATTTCCTGGCTTTCAAGGAAAGCTGAGCTGCATATATCTGAAACCATAAGCTACCACATCCATCCTTTCACATCTCAGACAAAGCTCAATGATTCAACCCAGAAAGCTGCAGGGTCAATTGCTGGTGTTACAGCTTTCATTCTTCCCTTTGTTTTAATGATATTAAAATAGCGTTCTAACCTGTAGTGGAGATTCATTTGTTTTGGGGGAAAAAAATATACCAGAGATGAGATGCATTTATTTTATGGTCTCTCAGAGACTGGAGCAGATGACTTGCAAAGGTCCGTCCCAACCTAACCTATCCAATGATCCTCATTAAAAAAAAAAAAAAATAGTAATTTTTAAGTGCCAGCGATGGAGACACTCGTTATTAAAATTTAATGCTGAAGCAAACAGTAAGCAAATCAAAGTAATTAACTTCAGCAACACATCTATAGGATGAGTAAGAACAAGAAGATCCTACAAATAACCTAGAAACTTCTATATTTGCTTAGAGAAAACCAACTGAAATGTCAATATTTAATAAAAAATACAACATTCTGAAATCAAGCAAATGTCGCTAGTGTTCAACATGAAAATTATAAATTGTGTAAGCTGTTCCCATCACATGTGAATTTATGAAGCATTTCCTATGGAAAAGAAAATCAAGTGCAATGGTACCCAGCAGCAACTACTGAAAGACAAGTAATGGAATTAAACAATAATTTTTCTTTAGTGAAAACAGAAAAAAAAAAAAAAGTGTTTTGCAGGGAAAGGGAGCTGGCAATCATGGTAACTGACAATTTGACATGTTTGTTTGTATTATTCATTGATTTTTGACCTCCAAATACATGCCCCAAGCCAACCTGCACATAATTAATAATTCATAAACTATCACAGTGCAAAAACAGTGTCTGGACTGCTAGATCAAACCATTATCTGTTCATACAAACCAGCAACTCCAGTTAAGATTTCCTTACAGCAATACTACCTGATCTAGGTTTTTGAAGAGCAGGATATCTTTACACGCTTCCTGCAGTCTGCATCGCTGTTCATCAGTTTTTGGATGAACTACCTTTAAAAGAAAGTAAAACAAAACTGTCATGACAGCAAAGAAATAATTACAGGCTGAACCTTCACTTCAGAGGGAAAGAGAGAACACAAATTATGAGCTTCAGAGTATCTAGGTTTTTTGTTTACATAAATAGTCTGTCTGGAGACAGAGTGAAAGAAAAATAAGAAATAAGTTATTCTGACAATAAACACACAGGCAATAGTGCAGTCAGAGAGATGAGGAAGAGGACCTCTTTTCTCTCCTCTTCCAGTCCAGCTGTAGGTATGGTCAAGGCTTGGGCATCTTGAACAGGGGAAAAAGTCAATGGTTTTTGTTCTAAGCTCTGATTATATTAGTTTCAATAAACTTACTGTTGGCATACACATAGTTTACAAAACGTATGATACATATTTATATCAGCTCATCTAATAATAAAAGTAATCTGATATAAGTAGTATAGTTTTTTTTTTTCCCAATAGAATTACTTTCAATAAAAACTTTGCTGCTGGAGAGATTTCTTTATACTTCTTTTCAATTACAAACCTCTCCTCAGGTTAAAGGAATCAAAGTTCATGCCTTCAAAGAAACGTTTACGTATGTGCTTGTTGTGGATATAACTATGAAAGCATATGTTAAAACATTAATTGCCTCATATTTACCAAATAACTGTATTTCTGGAATTACTAGAAAAACAGTTACATTATTAGGCATTCTCAAAATTCATTATCCAAAGTTGAGCAGATCTTAGACCTCTCTTCTAAAAGGAACCTTGTTTTTACTAATCAGCAGTCAGGAAAATTAAGACTTTTGATAGAATAAATATATCCAGCTTTGAATACATTTGAATGATCAAACACACACACTTTTTTTCTTTTTTGTAGTATATTATTTATGAAGTTAACTTCCCTTTTAAAAGAAATTAAATTAGTCTTAGGCTTCCATTGCAGATGTACGAGCATCCTTGAGATGGAACCTGGAAAGTGAACACCAAAAGCCCCTAGAGAAAACATTGAACCTGACCAGCCAGGCTACAGGATTTCCTCACATCAAAGCACCTCTAAAGAAATACAATTACAATATCTGCAATTGTAATTCCTAGAAATTCCCAACATTTAAAGACAATACAACAACAGGTGGCTACAGGCTTAAAATATTTCAACAAAGTATTTCTCTTATGAGCAGCAAGTAATCTCTCCCCAGGCAGAACTACTTTGACAAGAAAGGCAGTGAAAAGCATGTGAGGAATTTTAAGCACCCATGAAGAAACAGCTGTCTTAAAGCTTAACTAACTCTTCACAACCACACCAGTGCTCCAGGAATTGCATCAACAAGTGTTTAAGATAAATAAGAAAGGAAAATATTCAAATTTGTATAGATGGTAGACTTAAGCACAGCTCTAAAGACCTTCGAAATAAAATTATGTTAAAGCTACAGCGACTAAATAAGTACATTGAATAAAGTGGCCCAACAATTAAGAGTAATGCCACTTGTGAGTTGCTACTCACAGCCTCTCAGAACAAAATGCACAAGTGATAAGATGACATACAGACCTCGACCTATCAGAATGTACAGAGAACCAAGTATGATGCAATTCACTCGTTCTTACCCTTGGTTCTGTATCTTCTTCCTCTTCATCTGGATTGAAAGCTTCAGCACACACTTAGGGGAAAAAAAAGGATATTAGTCAAAAGAAGCTATTACATGAGAACATCAAACAAATCAAGTTTCAACTTCTTTCCCCTAGATTATCTATATTTTATTTTCCTACTGGAAAAACAAAATCACTTCTGTTCTTCTGTTCTTATATTGCTGTATTGTCAGAGATTTAAATTCTTTCTGTTATCAGGACATGCACAGTATGTCTCAAACTCTCACGTAAAAGGCCTCTGCCTTACAACAGAAAGTAATATTGCCTATTGAGTATTCTAGTGTATGTACACAGATTTCCTCTCAAATCTTACTCAAGGCATAACAATCTCTATTTAGATTCATTTGAAAACATCTTTAAAAAGCAGGGGGGTAAATACTGCAGCTACACTGCCTCATTCTCCACTATAAAATGCATATAGAAAAAACACACTAAAACAGCATTTTCAAGGAGGGATGAGCGACTCACTCTACCTGAAGTCAGATTTGCAAGTGAGAATCTCCCACTTTTATTTATTTGTTTTTATACAAGCGCGCACACACATACACAAACACACATATATATATGTAAAAAAAAAATCACGTTTACACAGAAATTCACTTGGGAAACGATCAGCCAGCTTGACTGTAGTATATTCTATGACCAAAAATTATGGTTAGTCTCTGCTCCCCCATATGTTCCTGTGCCCAAATAGTTTAATCAAACGAACGTCAAGTTCTGCTATGAAAATTACACTAAAACTGATTCTTCAAAATGGATGAGACGTTCATGGAAAGCGTACACCATAGCGGTGAGGAACAATGCTCTGCCAAACATTTAACTAAGTTATAACTACAGAAACAATTGTAAAAGAAATAATGATAATGAGCTTCTAAAATTTCAAACTCATTCAGTTTTAATGCTTCAGAAAAGGCTTGTCTTCATAGTTAAGCTGCTACAGAATGATTTTACAATATTAAATACAAACTTTGGCTGCCAAAAGCCTAAGTCTCTAGTTGAGACTTTCTTATTAACTCGTGCACATTTGCATTTCTTACATGTCACAGTGAACTTTGAGTTCTAACCAGCTTTACGGATAGAAAGGCAGTCCCATTTTCATCTAGTTATGCTCTCACTTTAATACAGATGGTCTTATTTCTGAGACTATAGATCACTTTTAAAATTTTTACAATGAAACACAGGCAAGTATTTTTCTTTGTACTTTATTCAGTATCCTGACAGCACTGACGACTTGGCAGAACGCCCAGAAGCTCGCTGCAGTGACATCTAACTACTGAATGGATTTAGTATAAATAAAAATAAGCAGACTTAAAAAAAATCTAGAAGGCCTAGTATTCAGCAATTTGCAAATAATTTAAAGATGCACACAGGACTATTGACCTTGTCACTGTGCTTTCAAAAGGGCTATAAAAACACATAGGCCTAACCTAATTTGCTAGGAAAGATTGGCATCTTTTTTGCTGCCTAGAAGTGCAAGTCTTTCCTAGCAAATTAAATTTTCTTTCCTGTCTTTCCAGAGAGGGCAGAGAGACTGGAATACAATGCAAGCCATCCATTTATCATCTCGCAATATGAAAATCATATGAAGAAATCATTAGCCATTTAAAGAGTACTTATTGCTCATCATATAACAAACCAAGTGTTAAACTGCCTCTCCTGGCATATTAATGGTGCAAGTGCAACAAACGAACATACGATTTTAGTCTAACTAAGCATAGTCCACCCACTTTTTGGACAGATACTTTGAAAAGGATAAACAGCATTCCTCCGCAGCTGGATAAAAGGCATAGTCCACCATACAGTCCAAAGGCGACTGCATTAAGGGAAAAAAGATGCGTACAAAGACACAGAACTTGGACTGATAGGCAAACACTCACTTAATATGCAATACAAAAGCACTAACAAAGAGAATGCTATTAGCGTTTCTGTGTGAAAGCTTTCCTCCTCCTTTCATTTTACAGTAAGGAGGAAAGTCTATTGTGAAAGCCTTGGATTTTCTAATAAGGAACGTCTTCTTAAAAGAAAGACTCCTTGGTTTAATCAGTACAGGGAAACCGGAGATGAAAAGTATTTTTATTCTTGCATATCTTACCAGTGATCTGGAGTTCAATCCTGTACTGCGTACTCTAATAAGTACCACAAACGTACTTACCTAAGCTTCTGAAAGTACCTGACATGTAAGCCCATTCAAGCTGCATAGCTGTGAATTCAAAGACCACTGTACTTCACTACAGAATCACAGAATCGTGTAGGTTGGAAGGGACCTCTGGAGATCATCTAGTCCAACCTCCCTGCTCAAGCACGGTCCTCTAGACCATATTGCCCAGGATCACATCCAGACGGGTTTTGAATATCTCCAGGGAAGGAGACTCCACTACCTCTCTGGGCAACCTGTTCCAATGCTCAGTCACCCTCACAGTGAAGAAGTTTTTTCTCAGGTTCAGATGGAACTTCCTGTGGTTCAGTTTGTGCCCATTGCCTCTTGTCCTGTTGCTGGGCACCACGGAGAAGAGGCTGGCCTCATCCTCTTGACACTCCCCCTTCAGATACTTGTACACGTTTATGAGATCGCCTCTCAATCTTCTCTTCTCCAGGCTGAACAGGCCCAGCTCTTGCAGTCTACGTTGTTCCATCATTTCAATTCTCAGTATTAAACCGCAACTTAGATTTTGTTCCCTTCTCAACTGCAGGGAAACTATCACTAAGGATATATTTTGGAACTGAGGAAACTCTCTTCAAGATTTCCTTAGGAAGACAAGCTTTATTACCATTACCAAGAACAGCACTAGAGAAAACCTTGTCTTAAAAGATGTAGCAATAAAAACAATACAGTTCTCTGCAATATTAGGATCAATCTTATCCTAGCACAATAAATCTTGCCACTTCTCCAACGAACAAGCGTTATTTGATTGCTACATTTTTACAACTCTCTGTGAAAAATTTCCTCTATACAGGGTTACTCCAGATCATCCCACAATAAAAGAAAAGTGACTTCTGTTCTTAATAGCTTTATATGAAAAATGCTCTTAAGTGTTGGAAGTTGTCTAGTGCATTTGCAGGATCACAGGAAATAAAGACGTAGCCACAGGAACACCCACATATGTTTGCTCCAAAATGGGCTACTAAGTTATGGTGTACACAGGAAAATGAACGGACTCCCACAAAATATAACAGCCCACCCCTCTGAATCGTGGTTCTTTGGTGGAAAGGCCACTCTAGGAACATAAGCAATTTGTTCATCCTTTTCTCAATGGCACCAAGAGTCTCACACCCAATATTAACTTTGGGCAAAGATTAGGATTCATTTGTCCTGTAGACAGCTGATTCTCCTAGGACAGCGCAGCTAAATAAACTTACAGTACAGTGCATCAAGACCAGAGGTAGTGGGATTTTGGTGCAACAGATGGTGAGCAAAATTCTGAAGTATGTAAAGTGTTCTGTCATTTGTCTACCTTTGAAACTCGCTGCAAAGTCTTCTTTCAAACTGTCTCACCATATCATATTTTATTTTAAAATGCCCATTTAATGTATATTCATATTTTATAAAAATAGAAGCATATTTTAAGATCGTTATAAAACTTCATAATGTTTTCTCATCTGTTCCCTCTGTCGATAAAGAGGAAGCTTTGTCTGGAGAACACAAACAGCTTGGGTTGAGATTTGTGCGCATAAGCCTTCCCTATTTTATCTTATAAACCAGCAAGGGTGAAAACAACTTCATAAAGCCCACTAAGGAAACAGTGTAGGACTTTAACCCTTCCCTTATATTTGGGAATCACTTCAGCATGACAAAGGGCACCACAGAAATATACTAAGAACATGCAAAAATGCTACTACTTCCTATACTGTCCAGAAACTGTTTCAAGCAGAAAGCCCTCCCATTATATTTTTCTTTCTTCAACCTGCTACAGGCATTTGTTTATTGAGGTAGAAGTGGTATGGCAGACACATTTTGGACTTCAACTGACAGCTCTGATTGACAAGAATTTATTCATTTGCAAGCAGAGCTGTGACACTTAATATAACATCTGTCATGGGATGGCAAAAAAAAAGGGGGGGGGGGGAGGGGGGCAAAAAAAAGAAAAAAAAAAGGGGGGGGGGGAAGGGAGACACAGAAAAATAATGAATTCTGACCGCAAGCTTAAACTAATATTGTGATATGCTGGAAAGCCCACAGAAAGCTCTGCAGCCCACTCACATAAATATATATTACAGTCAACAACATTTTTCCATATATTTTAAAGGATGACTAACGCAAAGAAAAAGACAACATTACATCAACACCTTCCTCTGGTTTAAGTCCCAATATGTCCAGTTTTTCTTTCCACCTTCCTTAATTGGTAAATTACTTGTCTGCCCTGCTGATCTGCTGAACACATTACCTGTCAAGATCTGCGTGCCATACTCATCTTCAATATGTCTAATGTTGTTTACGTTCAAACAGTGGTGTTTCTCTGTTCTTCTGATACAAAAGAACACCTATAACTACCCTAAACCATATAAAACCCCTGACAGCAACCTGTGGTACCAATTTTATGACTCCTGAAGGTTAATTGTTTGTAGGTTACAGTGCAGCCAGTCTCAGTGGCAAGCCATTCGATTTTCACTTTTGCTGGAGTGAAAAATATACTTGCCCCACTATTTTATACTTGTCCTAATACAACAGGTATTCCAAGGTAAGCTTATCCTCATGAGATTATCCAAAAGAAATCTGTTGACAACTTTTTTTTTTTTTTTTTAAAAGACTCCTAGAAACATTGGTTGGTAGGGATCTCAGGAGATCATCCAGTCCAACCTACTCCTCACAGGGGAGCTATTGGCAGATCAGTGCAGTCATGGCTTTGCCTGGCTGTCTTGGAAACCTCCCAGGGAGACAATTCCACATCTCTCCGAGTAACCTGCTCCAGTGCTGCACTGTACCCTCCTGGGGAAGCAGCTTTTCTTAATGTCCCATCTAAACCTCAAAAATGTCTGGAAATAGTTTGAAGAGACTTCTGAAACCACATCTTTC